CCCCCCCCCCCCCCCCCCCGACTCTGACAAACCAATTACCTCTAATGTCTATAACTGGTTTGTATTAATTAAATAATTATCTTAGACAGAAAGTTACTTTCCACCCTCCTTTAAACTTTCCTTTCTTTGGAAAAGAAAATTTAAAAAAAATCATGGAACCACAGAAGTTACCAAAACTGTCACATAGCAAGACTTGGTAACACATTTGACTGAGGTTATATATCACTACAGACACAATGGCTAATTGTTTGATGAAGTAATTCCTGACATAATGATTCAGGTAGGCCCTGCTTCTTTACCTACTAATAATCAGCACATACAAACTAAATATAAGAATTAATATACACAGAAAGACGTTATGAACTTGGGTAAGTAATCATGTTTAATCATACAAAAGCAGAAACATTTTGTTGCTAAAAAAATAAATATACTGACAGTCAATGAAAACGCATGATTTATTTATCAAATAATATTTTAAGTTCCTTTGGCATAAAAGAAAATAAGTTTTCTCGTGAAATATGTGAAATATGAAATAGTGGTCAGCCCATTCTCTTATGACCAAACAAGTGCATTTGTACTCGTTTATATGGTTGGAATCTATTTTTCGGTAAAAAAGTACAAAAAAGTTTTCTGATGCGTTTTCATTGACTGTCAGTATAGTATGAATAGTTAAATGCTTAACTTACCTCTTGTTTACCAAATGTTATGTTAGCAGTGGATGGAGTGAGAAGTGTCACATCAGATTTTAAATCTCTCTGAAAAAATGAAGGAATAAAAACAGTAAATAAATGAAAAGAGAAACTCATGAATGGACAAAGAAGCAAAAAATTTCATATTATTCAGCATTTTTTCTGTATCTTACAAGTTAAAACATATTCAAATGTGTTATATTTTTCTATCAAATTATTTCAAAAATAAAACATTCTTTACTGGGTTAATTATATAGCACTACTGACAATCTAAAATTGGGATAAAAAGTTTTAAAACAAAAAAGTAAAATTGTTTGATAATATCTGACTTACCGGATCAAATTCTGGCATGTTAAAGGGAGCTGGTTTATGTCCCAAGAAATACTCCTCTGGTGTATAAAACCTGATCCCAATGTTCAAGGCAAACTAAAAAAGAAGAAACATGTTAGCCATATGCTGGCTTGTACGAAAAACTTCAATGAAAGCTCTTTTATTCAAAATATATAGAAATCACGCCACAAGTTATTTATCTATTTTCAACACATTAATGAATACTTGATAGTTTCAGCCATACATACTAGTCTGTCGCCACATGAAAAATCTTTTTTCTTCTTTTTATCTTTGTTCTCTGGTCTTCCTGCTGCATCTGGAATAAAAGAGGTATGAAATGAATTAAATACTGGTACCAAAGGGACTAGACTATGATTCGCCTTTTTTATTCAGTCAAACAACTATATTTCTTCATTTTATATTTATTTATTTATATTTTTGTAACAGAATATTTTTTTCTTTATCTGGTGACAATCACATGATTAAATTATCATCAGCCTGGATGTATGCTGTACTGCACAGGAATAAGAATGACATATTCTTCACATGGGAGCTGTTCAGAATGAGTAAGGTCGACCTAGATTGTATTCTCAACACCAGGAGGAGGCATGTAATTCCGCTAATCTGATTGCAGTCAGCAAGAGTCCCCGTGGAGTTAGATTGCACTAACAAGGTTGACCTATAACTCATAGTTTCATTCATGGTTATGTTCTCAGATAGGTACCTAATTCAATAGGGTATAATATTGAAACTCACTGGTGAGTACTCCCATGTGTATATAGATGTCAGATATAAATTAATGTGGAAATGAAAATGTTGACTTACCTCCAACATAAAATGATTGCTTGGGGTCCACTTCAATACCATCATTATTCTGAAAATGAATATGAAAAATACCAAACTGATGGAAGTTAACCTACATTTTTTGTGAAGTTGTTAATATTTTATTGAGTAATGTTAATATCATGCTTAACTTTAAAACTTGTCAAATCCAAAAAAAAAAAGATAGAAAAGAATACATGTCCACATAAAATTGAATGTATATGTTTTTTCCCCTAATTTATCGTGGATTTGGCAATCAATACCGAAGTGTAAGCCCCTGGGCTCCGTATCTCGAAAGGTTCGCTATGTTGCGCACATGCGCAAGCATCTCGATTCCATGGCCCCTTATCTCGAAATAGAATGGGTTATGGAATCGAGACACTTGCGCACGTGCGCAACATAGCAAACCTTTCGAGATACGGAGCCCAGGTCTACTGTGTATTTCACCATGAACCAACCACCTACCTCACTAAGTAAAACATTCCACACACCCAAGCTTGGTTTTCTATACAACCCTGAGCCTGTTGACACAAACACCTATAAACAAACTATTTTTATCAATCTCAAAAAACATTTTTACAACCTAACTTAAATGCCATACAACTTTGCAATTCTTAATGTAATTTCATCTTATGTTATAAAGTAAAAGAAGATATTAAGGCACACATAAGAACATATTCTTTCAAAACTTGTAAACTGACCCCCCCCCCGAAAAAAAAAAAATAAATAAATAAATAAAATTCAGGAATTTAACTGTAATACCTGAATGTAAAACTTTCACAAGTGAATTCTTTAAGTTGAATCATTTATCCAATGTACATGGTCATGTTATATCAATACACAGTTTTCGTCAATAAATGGCTACGAATAATCCATGATGGCAAATAAATAAAAAGTATTAAATTTCTTCAAATGGGGAAATATAACCACAACCAGAAAACAATACCTGTACTGGGATATTCAGTTTACTGGTTATATTTTCCACTTTTCTCTGAAACTCCTGTTCTGTCATCTTTCCTTTGCTTATCCCTGACTGGTTGGTAAAGAAGACAACTTTGAAGCCATCAGCCAGCAACTTCTTTAACTTCCCAGGCACTTCTGGATAGAGTATCCTAGAAAACAAAGCAATTTCATTTGGGTAAAATGAAAATTTTCCATCTTCCTTTCTTTTTAAAAATTCCAGTTTTTCTAGACCGACTGCCATCTGTCATAACTAGACAGTAAGGGTTGCAAATACACAGACAATAAACTTAAATTTGCAGAAAGACAGAAATTGTGGAGAGACTCTTACAAAGATATACATCTAATGGCACTTTGATTAGAAAACTCAGGTAGTGGAAAAACATTAATGAGTTCTGAAAACAATTAAACATAAAATGAATAAAATAAAATAAAGCAGAATAGAAATGCTCCTTACTTCCAGTCACCAATATTGATGGGGAAAACTCTGCCAGAATTTGTTGTTATGATGGTTCCATCTAAATCAAACCCAGCAATCTGAAAAATAAATGTTTTCAATATGTACTACATTTCCATGAAATTTCCTAATTACAATTATAGGTGTTTGTTTAAATATGTTTTTTTTAAAGATGAAGAGGCATAGGAGGAAGTCTTTTGTATGGCAGCTAAATGTATGGCCATGGATGACCATCTAATGAGTTAAATATACTATATTTAAAACTTTATCATTGTCAAATAAAACTTTTATTGATCCAAGCTTAAAACATCTTTATACCATAAATTGTAAAAAAAAAAACTGTAATTAGAGATAATGATTGCAGGCTTAAAATGAACAGGGTGGTTTCATATTTTGCTTGGAGATACATGGATTGAAAACTCAACCTGGATAAGCCTTTTTGAAAGCATGAATCAATAAGGTGAAGCTGAAAAGCTTCAAAAGTGCAATAAAAATCTCTTTCATAAAATATTTTGCACCAAAACTTCATTACTCAAACCTTTAAAAAGGAGTACTGTTTTTTTTCCAATTTGCAATTATCATTCTTCCTCTACAATAAGGTAAAGAGCCCAGAAGTACAAAGGGTACCTGGAGGGTTAGATGTATACTGTACCTTAGAGCTGGGTCGGACCCCTTTGCCTGTGTAGATCATCAACTTCTCTTTACTTTCCCATCTCGCCTCAGATGTTGCTTTTCCATGTTTCTGGTTGTCATGGCTACCGAAGCCCAATGGAACTGGTCCCGAATTTAAACTGGCACTGACGGAAGGATCTGGTGAGCTCATTTTCTGAAACGTTTCCTTCATCATTTGAAGTTTCTTTTTGATTTCTTTTTCTTCATCATCATCCTCATCACTTAGGTCATTATGAGAAGTAACATTTTCATTGTCTTTTGTGGAAACAGTTTCTGAATCGTCAGATTTTAGTCGTTTACAGCCCTCATAAGAACCACCCTCATCAAGCTTTCTTTTTCTGGTAACATTTGAGCCATCAGATTTGTCCTTTGAAAAATAGTCTGCAATACTTTTACTTTTCTTATTTGTCTGTTTTTCAATCTTAGCATTTTCTTGTTCATTCAACCCACTCTTTGTAGAGTCCCCTCCTTCAAATTTGATGAAATGTGGATATTTTCCTTTGATAACATGTAAAATATCCCCATCACGTATGACAGCTTCTTCATTCTTGGCTAAGATGTCTTCATTTTCTCCTATGGATGATGGGTTGGGACCTATCTGCTTTACTTTCACTACAGATTTACTGTGATCTGCTGTTAACTCAACTGTAAAATAATGTACATATGCAAGTACGTATACTGTGTACATTTGTAGCTTGTGAGTCTATGACTTTCTAAAAAATACAGATTTATAAATAGTTTCTATACACATGTCCAAATGTTTTTCTTTTGTCCTGAAGATATTTACTAGTCTATTTTCCTAACCTACAATGTAAATGTAATCCTTAATCCTGCAATCAATTCCTACTATATATTACTTATAGCTGTTAATGTGTGTGAATGCAAACACACACACGCATATACTAGTACTACTGTAGTATATGCATGTGGCTGTGTTTGTGCACTACTTTATGTACTGTATATTGTACATGCCTTTTAATAAGGTACTGACTTTGTGAATGAAAATAAACAGTGGTGGAGAGAACACTTACAAGTATATTTTAAGATTGTGCATCTCACCACTGTTTGTTTTTATTGTAAAATCCAACTTTTTAAGTTGCAAATAAATACATATTATTATTATTATTATTAAGAATTCTCCCTTACGCTGGTTACGAGAGCACTTGGTGTCTTTAATCTTCATCACAGGACCCCTTCCAATACTGACTGGGACTTTGTCTGGCAGGGGTACTGGTTCATGTGAGCTCTGTTTGCAGACCAAATAACATTTAGATGCCATTGCTGTGCTGTACCTAAAATAAATATCAGAACATGGATAATTGTAATCAAATGAAATGAAAATGGAGTATTACACGTATTTAAATAGTCTTTTATAAATATAGTTTCTGCAAATGAAAAGAGTAATCGTGTGCTATTTGCTTAAATCTAGAAGTCAAATTAAGCTGACATGATCAGCTAAAAACTAAATCAAGTGTGGCCTACCGTGTAACTACAGTAGAACTGGCTTAGTTAACGATCTAACTTGATCACTAGTAGTACATGTTCATGTACAGGTACATACATTGTAGTAGTAGTAAAAGGTACTGGTGGGGCCGTACGGACAACTAGTTGTTAAGGTCCACTAAATGCATGTGATGAAATCACTCATTTACATATTTTGTTTATATAATCAGTCAGCACATTATCATTCACCTTGCTTCAGTCTTGAATGAATATCTAAAATCATCATCCTTTGAATATGTATACCTGATAAGTACAGTAGAACTGATATAACTTTCACTCACTTGTTATCTATTGCATTGCAATTAGTATTTAAATGAGTTGCTGCCACTGTGGCATGCAGAGAGATTCCCAATAGATAATGTGTATAAATGCTGAATGCTTGAACTTAATAAAGGACTTTTAGACTTGGAACTAAATATGTGAGTCTGTGGTTATATCCCCTCTCCCATGCATCAGTGACAGGTAAAATATTAGAAGAACCTGGGTAGGGTGGAACGTGGACCCCTACATAATGGCGAGCTCGACCAGGGTCACTGCGGGGGAGGGATATAACTATGGATCCAACTTTGAAGAAGAGTATGCGTACGAAGATGATGACTGGGATTCTGAAAAGGACTATAACATTAACGGCAGACTGGTAGAATGCCTATCCAAGCTAGCCGACCTGTTACAGAGACAGTATGGCTGTTTGCAGCAACAGAATAATGACATTACTGCAGAATCTGAAATGAAACATAAGTAAAAGAAAGAAACCAAGGCAAAGTAGATGAATTATTAGAAATGGAGAAGGGATCTAATGATGAGACACTGACTATGGCTAATGATGATGAATTTATGAATGAGATGAAGTTTGTAATCGAACATGATGTAACGGTGGGTGACGAAAAAAATGGAAATGAAATCAGCAAGGACATTATGATTATGAATGAACAAGAGGTAGAAAAGGGAACCGATTTTGTGAAAGGGAAGAAAGAACAAGAACTAGAGCTAGGATTGAAAACTGATGATGATGATGATGATGATGATGATGACAACAGATTAATTGAAAGAGGGAGTAGAATAGGTGAACTGGAATATTATGAGAAACCTGATGTAGTTGAAAAGGCTTTAACAGATGATGTAAAGAATACGGATGAAGGACTTGATAATGATGATGACCCAAAGTATGTGGAGAAAAATGGCGTAGATGAAAAGGCTGTAACGGATTATGTAAAGAATGCTGATGAAGGACTTAATGATGAACCGATAGAAATGGATTTTTCTAATCTCAAAGATACAGACAGAGACATACTTACTGAAGTAGAGATGAAACAAAGTGCAGGTGAGGAGGAAGTAAAAGTTGAAGAGAATGAAGAACAAAGTGCAAGTGAAGAGGTAATTAAAGTTGTAGAGAATGAAGACAAACAAGGTTCAGGCACAGAAAATGTTTATGAGAATGCAAAAGAATGGACAGATGTAAAATGGGAATTTCACAGAGACAGCAAAAAGGTGCAGAGAAAGTTTATAGCAAAGAAACTAAAATGGACACTTCTTCCACACTGCAAATTAAAATATGATTTTTTTTTATGAATATTAAGTTAAAGGATGATATATTTGTCTGAGTTGTACTGTAGGTTTGGAAAAAAGGAGATATATTGGATTAAAAGATGTTTACCATTTGGCTCAGTATTTGATAGTCTTGTCTCAATGTTTTAAGTAAAATTGCACCAAATGTTTCATAACTTAAATGTTTGAAAATAATAAGATTTAAATGTGCTTACAGCTAAGGTTAAAACTGAATTATATAGAATAAGGGACAATATGTTTTTTTTATTAATGGTAATTTCCAACATGTAGGAAAATTTCCAAGATATATGTGTCATGGAAGAAAGAAAATAGTTTAATGGTATATCTGATATTAAATTGTTTAATTGATAAGATTTTAAATGTACAGTCCATTAGAAAAGCTGTTATAAAAACCATCTGTATGATAACCGGACATTTTTCTTTTCAAAATATTTTGGGAGCATAAACATTCAAATTAAATTGCATTAGAATAATGACATGTCTTTGTACAGCAATGAAATAGACAATGAACTGAATTAATTACAATTGTTAGTAAAAGTAATGATATTTGACAGAATAATATTTTAATTTTTTTTTTGTAATTGAATCATGACATAGATATTTTGTATAAGTAATTAGCTGTTAAATTTTCTTATATTTGAGTATTCTGTGGAATCTTTATTTCAAAAAATTATGTAACCATAATTTTTTTTGTGGGAAAAGAAGGAATATGTTAAGGTCCACTAAATGCATGTGATGAAATCACTCATTTACATATTTTGTTTATATAATCAGTCAGCACATTATCATTCACCTTGCTTCAGTCTTGAATGAATATCTAAAATCATCATCCTTTGAATATGTATACCTGATAAGTACAGTAGAACTGATATAACTTTCACTCACTTGTTATCTATTGCATTGCAATTAGTATTTAAATGAGTTGCTGCCACTGTGGCATGCAGAGAGATTCCCAATAGATAATGTGTATAAATGCTGAATGCTTGAACTTAATAAAGGACTTTTAGACTTGGAACTAAATATGTGAGTCTGTGGTTATATCCCCTCTCCCATGCATCAGTGACAGGTAAAATATTAGAAGAACCTGGGTAGGGTGGAACGTGGACCCCTACATAGTGTTTATGCTGAGAATTAGCCAACTCCATTAGGTTTTTAAGCGCTGAATGAATTCACTGTCACATTATCTGATATACCTGTATTTCAAACGATTCGCTGTGCTGTATGATCGAAATGAGAAGAGAAAAGAAGGTAAGCTGCGGTCTACCGCCCTCCCTAAGCTCCACATGTGAAATCTCCAAACATTGAAGAGTTGGATTAATTAATGCGTTAGATGTGACGCGATTCTTACACCGCAATCATCTCCCTTCCTTTTTTGCGTATGATTCTATCAAATATCATAATTAGGCTTATTCGTTTGTCATGAACTAAATGATCAACTTGTTTATTCTTTTTAGCCACTCCAACTCATTAAAAAAACATTCAAATTCTATTTCAAGTTGTTTGCATAAAACGTAACATGTCCAAAACTACAAATAACCTCCAACAAGAAACTGACATGGCTATGACATTGCACCGGGTCATATTTTACGTCGTATATTACAACAGGTAACACAGGTCTACCCTCTACCAGGGCTGCAGTTATTATTCTGTGGAAATTTTTTTGCTGGGGCACTACAGAGATTAGCCATCTACTTAACCAGAGACATATCTGTTAAGATCTAGTGAAAAATCAATCTGTGGCCCTGGTAGAGGGTAACACAGGCTTGGAGGTTGTATAGGGACGAATTGTTTTCTCAAACTACTGAACTACGTGAATAGGAGATCCAGAGAGAGGCATTGTGTGTCATGTACACCCACCCTCCCCATCCATAGCTTCGTAGCTATAGGGCAAATAAAGAGGTTCGGAGGTAGGCCTATCTTCTTCACCCCTTCTTCCCAAAAATAGCTAAATCGTCTAATTGGTGGACGAGAAATACGAGAAATGACCCACCCCCTCCCCGAAACATCCTGTATCCACTAGTGTCCACAAAATTAACTTTCGTTTTGTTTTCTAGATCTTTTCTTAGCTACTGTCAGTGCCCGCTGATAGTTTCACCCTGTCCATTTATTCAAAGCATAAACGTTTTTTAGTTCATTTTATAGGTCTATTAGGGCCTACTCTCATTCCTTCCAAACGAGGATAAAGTTTTTTTTTTTTTTTTTTTTTTTTTTTTGCACAGTCAAGTCACATGACGCTAATTATCAACTTGAAAATCGCTGTATTTGAAACACAGATATTCGTCCCTTATTTCATTGAGATAATTGAGCTGACTAATAAAATAATCAGACAAAACCTCAGCAGCACCTGTATGCCTTTAAGGCCTCCATTAGTAATGTCTAAAAACACAAACCTGGTTTGAAAAAGAAGGGAGACATCCCTGTCACCACATCCCTGGCAGAGTGAATGGACAGTAAAATTCCCGTGTTTTCACAAATTTGATGGGTAGGTCCTGTTGTTTTCTTTGGCAGATTGATAGAAGACGTATTATTTTGTCGCTGATCTTGATGAGTGATATTGATGTTTTATAAAACGCTCCATACCCCGAGGCCCGACGAAAATAACGTACGCGTATGTAATTTTGTCATTCATTTTGACACAGATTTCACCTAACATTACAACTAATGGTCTTAATGTGACCACGAAGATGAGTTCACGGGATAATTCTATGGATAAGTGGTGTTTTTTCCCCCTACAACCTGGTGTAGCATGGTTCCGAACAATTACTGCCAAAAAATCGACCCCGTGTTCCCCGGGCGTCTGATGAGGGTGAGGTTTAGGCCACAAGAAACTAGGGCTGCGTCAATTTTGGCCCAAGTTGTACAGAGCAAGTGTGATGCCGTCATCAATACAAGCATATTATTTTAAGTTACCCCTTTTTAATCTCCCAAAAATCTTAAGCAAAATGTGCATCAGTTTTGAAGAAGCCAGTGGAATGACGTCATACATATATATTTCTTTTTTTAACGTCCAATATAAAGAACCGATGTCACACATTGCGTGTAGAGGGCGCCTCTTAAAGAAACTTAATAGGTAGATCTGTGCCTTTCATTCGCCTTTAAGTTAGGTTACCTCTCTTGGTGCTCATTACGCCATAAAGTCCATTTAACAACGGAAAACAATATTGTCAGACATCTAAATTTGTCGCCCGTTCCTCTAACCTCTGCTACAACATGATAATATGCTATATGTGTCATATTTATGTATACAGGTAGGTATATACAAGAGAGAGAGAGAGAGAGAGAGAGAGAGAGAGAGAGAGACTGAGTGGTGCGCTGGTTAATATTATACGGTAGATAAGTAATGCAATTGAAAAGTTCGTTGTTGCTTTTTTCGCTCGCTCCAAAACGTATACTCTCTCCTCTTAACTTTGACGTCATTGACAATATCATTAAACTTTAAAAAATGCACAGGTTTCTTGTTGGTTATTTAAAAAGAATAACTAATAAAAATCGGATTTATTTTAAAAAAATCCGTGGCATTTGTGCAAATGACAACTCTGTCACATGGCTCGAACCAAGAGTGGACAGGATTTTCGGCTTAGTGTAAACAGGTCTTTACGACTGTCATACACGTGCAAGGTGCCAAGCCGCGTGATTGACGCGTTACTTTGTTATCCCCTGGGAAGAACATGTTTAAAAAGTAATTAATCGACCAGCAGTGATACCCTGTGTGCTTTCAGAAACACGCGGTTACTCTGTTATGCTGTTTGCAAACACTCCAATTCGCATTGACCCCCGGATGCTCTATTAATTGTCATCACATTTGAATCATTTTGCGCAATACGAATAGAAACGGAGAATTTCGATATAACGAGAGAAGGGGGAGAGGAAGAAAAAAATCGATTCACAATTGACTCACATTTTGAGAGGTGTCGATGCATTTTGGCAGGATTTCAATTTGACGGGTGACAGCCAAATTCAATTTTGACACCTTAATAACGTACATTATGAACGTTTTGACGCGTATCATGAACACCGGTTGTGCTTTGAAATTGGTTCCCTTCCCCCAGGATATTTGCAATCTGCCTTTTTAACCGACCATCATTTCTCCTTGTCTGTTTTTTTCCAAGAAAAGCGAAATTACAGACAAATTTTTAACAACTATGAAAAATGATGCCTTCCACTAGAGAGAAACTTAACAAGTCCTTCATTTCACATATAAACTAGGACCCAAAATATCTTTATCTTTTAGCTTAGGCACACATGTATAAATACTGTAATGATTAGGGCATATAAAGTAATTAGTTTAAAAAGTTTTTTATGAGTTTTTTTAGAAAAAATCATCCTTATCCAACCTGATCAAGTTAGATGTGATAGAGAAGACAGAAATACTCGCCACGAGAATTTTTTTGTACGGTCCGTCTTCTCAAACGCTGAATGCACACTGAATGCGTTTACGAAACCACTGCGTAAATCTTTGGAGATTGGTGCAAATTTAAAAGAAGTAATAGGGCGCAAATACATAGCACTTTCTCTCCTGGTCACATAAGTTGTCTTGAAACTGTCTCCCTTCACAGAACTGATGTTTTGGGGTTGAGGGTGGACAAACTTTTCTTCTTGCATAAAATTCCTACAGAGTTAAAACCATTGCAATCTATCATCGCCTGCGTGCTTTACCGTCAAGGAGGTAGCTTAATCGGTGCAAAGTTTATCTAAATCCAACACACCTCCACGCCTAATAATCCACTTTACGTCATTGAAGTCAGAATTGAATTCCTTCAGATTTTACCTTTGGCTTAAGGAGGGCATTTGGACCGACTTCTTCACATTTTCGGTAATTTTTCTTTTGCCTGTTTACTTAGACCCAGAATGAAGCGAGTTGAACAACGTCATCAACGCAAAAAAGGGACCTGTTGAATTACCTAAGCTTAAGTGCGAATGTACTGTACTGTAAGCAGGCCAAAAGGGGGGTTCTTTTTCTGAAAAAGTGGTCCTTTTCCCATAAAAACTACATGTACCTAGATCAAATTTTACCCAGAGTGGACCTTTTCCCAGCAAAAGGGGCGATTCTTTCGAACCCCCCGAACCCCCCCCCCCCCCGGCTACGGGCCTGGTAAGTCAGTTGCCCTGCACCCTGGTTTTGGGGTCTGTCTCATCCACTCTATAACCAGTACTTGCATATAATAGCATATGCTAAAAAGAGAGAAAATTACATAAGAACACAAAGTGTTGTCACGTAAATCACTGTGAATTTATTGCTTTACGCTTATATCTACAGACATATTGGAGACATGACGGGTGACGGGGAGGACGGCGGCGGGGGGGGGGAGGGGGAGGCAGTGGGCAGAAGGGGTTGTTGGTTGTTGGGTTGAGTTGTTCTGCACGACAAATGACGTTACGGACAAAAGAGAAGTAGGAGGGGGCAGCTCAGGCGAGATCAGAAAATGTAAAACGCATATAATGTTTGTCTTCCTTGTTTGGAAATATTTCATTTATCCCATCTCAATTTCGCTCCCTTCCAACACCCACATATTGTTGAATGAACAAACACACAGAAGCAAAATTGCCCGTCAACAGACAAACACATACACGCATGCACATTTGTACGAATACATACACACACACACACGCACACACTCGCGCGTGCATGTACATTTGCACGTACATACGCACACGTACACTATAGGCACACAAGTAAGCGCAAGCAGGCACCAGGACACTTCATTTGCACGGAAAATATGTTAAAATTAGTTTATTTATGGCCTATCCTTTAATTTATAACAATAACATTCAACCAACACCCTCCAACACGATCAATAAATAACTATATCAATTGATAACGGTGACACATTTATTAGTCCCCATTTCTTTTATCGCGTGTGTTATTTCAAGGAGTATGTTACATGCCAGACATCACACTGCACCGACTGACCCCGGTATTAAGGAGGTGGATCATCACAACTATCACGTAACAACGTTAAAAATAAATGTCGACGACTACTGTCTGCTCAGCACTCAGCCGACTTCTTACCACTTCGTTTTTTTTCTACCGACGCAAAAAGAGGGGAAAGATACAAATAGGGAAATGATTTTACTTATTTATTTATTTATTTATTTATTTATTTATTTATTTTGCTATGAAATTGGACATTCTTCGTTATCTATAAAAGAGAATGTGGTGGATTATCCAAAACAAGGTGATGGATTCTTTTCATCCTCTCTCTTCCCTCAACGCACATACACATGATGATACAAACACGTGAGCGTGCACATACACAAACGCGCACACACATTCACACATTCAGA